CATCATATTTTCTTTGTCTTATTCTCTGTGTTAATTTTGTCATTTATTCTCTGTAAATGATGTTATATATCTATGATTGGTGTGTAAGTTATACACAAGTACTAGCTTTCGTCAACATTGAAGTTAAGAAGAAAACTTACGTAGATTATCTGGTAAATTTGTAGAACCTGGCAAAGTTATAGAACCTGGTAAAGTTGTAGAACCTGGTAAAGTTGTAGAACCTGGTAAAGTTGTAGAATCTGGTAAATTTGTAGAAATAAATGGTGGACATCGTTGAGAAGAAGCACGTTCTATTGGATAACAAACAGGAATATTGCATCGAGTATTATTAACACATGCACTATTAGGTGCCGAACATGTTTTATTATCATTTCCACATGGAAGTAAATCTTTACATGATATAACTGTATCAGCACACATTCCTCCTCCAGTCATTGTCATCCATAAACATTCGCAGTCCGAATTCGATGAACATGGATTTGGTTTTGTTTGACAGTGTGATGATGGGCAACATCCACAACCAATAGCTTGTCCATCAACTATTGCTTGACCTATAAAAAAGTTCATGAAAAAATAGATTATGTTATCATAATTAGATGAAAATCAACATAGCAACAAAAACTTCATTATATATACCTTCAGAAAGCAAACATTAGCCACTATGTTTAACTTCTTTTTACGCTCGAAAAGAACATAATGAAAATGGTAATTATACCATTGAATAGCGCTTGAAATTCTCTATCACCCTGTCTATTTGTAATTAAGTCTACGCTTGAGCATTATGAAAATTAATTAAGTATAATGAAGATACCTTCATGTACTCATTCCCAAAGATGGACTTTCTAGTTTTTAATATTTTTCATTACTAGACAGACACATTTTTTTAAAGTAATTATATATTCTGATGGAGCTTAAAATTCTCTATCATTCCATATATTTATGTATTGCTTTGCATTTATCTGTTGCAAAATAATCCGAATACAAAGAAGACATCTTCAATAGAGAAGTACTAAAAAAGTCCGCTTTTTTTTGCTATTTTTTAGTATTTTTACCATATTATTTTTCATATAGAATAAATTTTCACAAAAGTAAGTATATATTCTGATAGCTCTTGAAATTCTCTAGCAGTCTGTATAAAAATATATTGCCTTGGATATAAGTAAAAAAAAAATCAGTGTATCTTCGAAATTGTCAATTGAAAGTTCTTCACTGTATTCAAATTATTTTTTTAACAGATGAATGCAAAGCAACACATATACATATATCGAATGATAGAGAAGTTCAAGTTCTATCAGAATGTATAACTACTTTTTTAAAAAGATGATTTTGTAGTGATCAAAAATTAAAAAAACTATTCTCTATACCAGTGAGAAAACCCACTCTGTCGCAATGTGGATATCAAAGTGTCTTCATTATACTCAATTTATCTTCATAATATTCAAGCGCAAACTAAAATAAAAATAGACAGGCTGATAGAGAATTTCAAGCGCTATCAAATGGTATAAGTACTTTTTTCGATATGTTCTTTTCGAGCATAAAAAGAAGTCAAACATAGTGGCTAACTTTTGCTTTCTCGGAGTATATATATGTGTGAATACTAAAAATCAGTTTCTCATACCAGTGATAAGGCAGAGCATATATCTAAAAATAAAAATGTATAACATCAATGATCACTCATAACATAATCACTTACAGTGCTATCACCACTTGAATTGCAAATTGTCGCATTGTCATAATTAGAGAAATGTAGATTGTCAGTGAAGAGATTTCGTGGAATAGTATTTAAAAAATGCTAAAAAAGAAACGCATAAGCAACATAGTAGAAAGAAAAAAAAATCTATCAGCACTCCTTCAGAGTTTAAACAGAGCTATTACACTTATAAGTATGATTTTGATAAAGACAACACTGTCAAACAAAGTTTGTTTCTAAAGTAAACGTTACCAAAATTTCGACTGCTTGAAGATTACAATGTATGTTCACTTTTTCAACTAAGTATTACATTTCTATGGAATAGCTGATATTTGCTGAATAAGTTTATTATCCAGATGAACATTGTAGAACAATGAAATCATAAAAACTATTCAGTTTATACGCCTTACTAGTAGAGGAGAATTTACTCGTCGACATCTCACATCTGCATCATTCTGGACTCGAATTTCCCTTGTCAAGATTCCTTCTCTTCAAAAATTCGTCTATAAAAATTTTCAAAATTATTTTTCTTAGAGAAATTTACCAATTCATTATTTGGAAGAGCTCTTCAATTTTTATTGATACCATTTCAGAATGTTTTTCCGAGCACTTCCTCAAGAATATTGTGCAACAAGTTTGATGAAAAACTTGATCATACATCAGAGTTAGAATCAGTTCGACCGGTTTAAAGAAACTTTTCCTCTTCTCCCGTCCAGGAGTAAGTAAAAACAAGCCTTTCATAAGCTTATGGATATAAAATATGTCGAGTACAGTTTTAGGTTATTTTATCAAAATAATCTTGTTTTTGGATAACCCATCGATTTATTTTCTCTCTTCTACTAACAATTTTTTTTCTAAAAAGCTCAATGCAAACTGTATTTTCTGAGATTAAGTTCTTCCATTATCTTATCGACATTTTGTAAGAGACTACATGTTAGTTTTGGATGGTCATTCAAAGATAATCATTGGATTTCTCTATAGTATTTGACTGAAAAAATTCAATATTTGCATTCTAGTATTCAGGCAAATTACTGCTTCTTTTTCTCCGCGAGAAGCACCTTTCATATTCATCTTCAGAAAATTTTACAAATAAGAACGTCTATTTGCATGATACTTGCTGCTGAAGATTTCAAAAACTTAAATAAAACTAGAAAGACGAGTAGTTTTTCAAGTCTCTTCCTTTAACCAATAATAAACCTACTAGTTTTGACCGGTTCCAACTCTGTCACACATACTGAACACTCGATAGAGAAACAGAATATTGCCTAACATAAAACTGGAAATCACTCAATGATTCAAACTGACGAGTATCATCTCCCTATTAAAATTAAACAATTTTAATCTTATTGAAAAACATACATAAATTATGAATAACTACCCTTATGTTTTTTGTTTTGATTAGAAAAACAACAAGGAAAACATCTTGGAAAGGGTGGGGTGTAGGTGTTGGTGGATCAAGAGGATAAAGATACATCCACACCCGCATCCACACCCACCCACATCCAGACTTGCACCTCTCATAACCAGTGAAAACGTCACGAAGAGTCTCATTTATCGAGTCACTTCCACTATCCTCTCAACATATGCCCTATGTGATGCCATCCGAGACCCAAAACAGTTTTTTGCAGCACTAATTCAACAGCCAGCAGTTCCTCTTCGCATTAAGCAGACATTGACCATCTAAGGCGATCGAATAATACTGACTAAGGGTCCACACTGAAGCGCAACAGTATTGCAGGGCTGAAGTTATTCACATATAGTACGACTTCAGAACTCAATGGTGCCTCCCAATACTATGTTGAGGACCCAAGGGTACCCCCTAATAGTAGGACTTAGCTCTTTGGGGCCGGTGGTACAAGGGTTGTACCACCTATGATTCCAATAAGAAAAATATTTGTTCCTCATTAAACTATTGTAACTTGTACAACACAGGTCGTTTCAGCTGCTAGCACATGCATATCTTTTCTCTGTTTCTTCCTGTTATATAGATGGTTCTCAAATCTTCTATTTCCTCTCTACTTCATACACCGACATCATAATCACTTCCTCTCTGAACTTGGTACATTTTCATAAAGCTTTTATGTAATCATTTTGAGTAAAATACAATAAATTGACTAGAGAGACATTTTCAATTAGAAATTAATTCCGTCCTCAAAGGGTTAATGACCTAAGAGTACCTCCCAATAGTAAGACTTGGGGACTCAAGCGTACTCCCTAATAGTAGGACTTGAGGACCTAGGGGTACCCCACTAATAGGACTTGAGGTCCTAACGGTGCCTATCTGTTGTAGCACCATTACCCCGTTCCTGGAAACTGGTAACGGTAACCTCCTACCCCTAGTTTAGATATTCGTGAAAATTTTTCGGAGACCATTCTAGGAAATCCTTGAGAAAATCTTGAGGTGGAAACTCGAGGAATCCCCGAAATTTGTGCTGGATACTTTGGAGTTTTGTAGCATAGAAGAGAAAATTATAGATCAATTTTCATCCTATGGAGATTTGGTATAACATGGATTATGGACTCATGTTTGGTTCCTGCCAACTTTGGTTCACTTCACTTCATGTGACCCCAGAAACTCTATATTTCATCGAAAGTTTTTTCTCATCAAAAATTTTCATCCTAGTCAGCTCAGCCCTTTATAAATACACTTAAGGTTGTACTCCCCCCCTCCCCCCCCCCCTCCAATACCCAGGTCGAACGATACGGTCCATATACGGACCATTTACTGGATCCGATAATACGAACCGTAACATCCAGGGGTGGCGCGAGTCAACCAACATTGGGGGGATGTAGCGAAATTTTTTGGAATAGAAAGACGAATTTTGCAATTTTTGGGGGGTGTAACGTTTTCTTTGGTAACAATTGAAAGAAAATTTACTGATCTTGTTGAGTAAAAAAACAGAAATTTTTGATGAGTGGGGGGGGGGGTGTCATACTCCCGGCACACCCCGGTCGCGTTACCCCTGGTAACATCATTAAAATATGGCCGTCTACGGTCCCGTTACTGAACACAGTAAGATGGGACCGTATACTGTGAAAATACGGCCGTATACGGCCATATTTTAATGATGTTCCGGTCCGTATTACTGGGTCCAGTAAATGGTCCGTAACGGATATTCGTTTTGATCGACCTGGGTAGGTGAAAATTTTGATGAGAAAAAGTTTTGGACAAAATATAAAGTTTCTGGTTTATTTTGATACGCTGATTCCAAAAATGAGAGTTATTTTGAACATAAACTTTGTTTATGATATCGAAATCTTCAAATAATAGCTGTTGTTTTCTTACATCGTATGGCTCTACTGTCTTTATCTTAAAGTTTGAATTACTATTCTCAGAATCGTGATCTTTCTTCAATTTTTTTGATTGCTTTGATGATTTATGTGAAGGTTCACTAATGATAAAAAAGCTCACCTTTCAGTAATGAATTTTTATCAAGTTATAACCAAAATGATGTCTCTCATGCACTGCAAAATTTGTGTACAACTCAGTACATTTTTATCATAGACCGTATTCATTAATAAAGTAATTCTCTAATATGATTTTCTTTTTATTTTATTGAGAACTATTAGCTCTATATACAATGCAATTTTGATAGCTGCTTATGCAATTTTTGATAAATACAAAATTTTGATGCATTATTAGGATGAATAATTGATGATTATGAACCTAACACTTAAGTATTCATTTTTTGTCCAAAACTATAAATATCCACAATTTGGTTTACTGCTTGAGTATGCTCAAGTCGGTCCCAACAAAAACAAATATTTACAAGTAAAAATATAGCGGGGTGAATAGCCCATGGAAAATGCACTACTTCCTTTGACTCCAACCGTTAACATGATGAGTATCCTCTATCAAAGCGTTTTGTTACTAAAAACTGAAAACAAGTTCTACTTACTTTTCAAGTAATGTTTCAGTATACGAGTTTGTTCTGCAGATTTGCGATCGACGTTAGTCTCAATTTATAGTAGAAATCACGACTGATTTTTTTCCCCTATAAACATGTTTACATGAATCAATGGACCATGACATTTTCATGATAGACGTAGCGTGCTTTGTATGAATGCGCTCGTCATCACCTATACTTCCTTTTCTTTTTGTATCTTTATATTTCATGTTCTTGCGTGTACACTATAATTTATGCATGCAACGATGTCAATCAAAAA